CGCAGCCACGAGCGCGCCGCGAGCGCCCGGCCCGAGCGCGGCACCCGCCGGGGGCGGCCCGGGCAGCGCCGCTCGTGCCTCGGGCCCGCCTGCCGCGGCAGCCCCCTCCTCTTCCTCCCTCTCGTCCTTTTCCTCCCCCTCCTCCTGCTGCCCCCAAGCCCGCCCCAGTCCCAGGCGCACAGGGCTCGGCGAGCACAACCGGAGGGTCCTGCCCCTGCAAACGGGCTGCTCGGCCAGTTAACGAGCACCGGGGTCGTTTCTTTTATCCCAGCTCCACGCCATAAAGACTCCTGAAGCATGGCTCTTAAACGGCCACATTCCCACTTCAATTTATGGGTAGGACCTTTAACCAGATGCTTACTTTTACTTCTTACAGAATCACTTACAGAAATTTGATTAATCCTAGCAAGCCACTGTGTCCTGCCTCAGTGAAGAGCATTTAGGTTGTTTTCTGGCATATGTTTACACATAAGATCTGTGTAGTAGCACTGTGGCGGATGGCACTGGTTTCAGATATTTTTTGTCTTTTTATTTTGGGTCGCTTAGAAAGCTAAAGGAAGAGTCCTTGCAGACAGCCTTCTGAGAAAGGCTCTTCCTTTCTAAACCTCCCTTAATGGTGCTTGCAGCAGATCCTCAGGTATATTTTTTCCCTCTAGTTCAGTTTATTGCTACACCTGAAAAATCTTTTTTCTATTGCTTGGTTACTTACAGAAGTAGAATGTCTCTTCAAGCTTGAGAAAGGAGCCAGAACTATGAACCAAGAACTATTTTCAGTGTAACAGTGATTCAGGAAGTTACCACAGCAGAGGTATCACAAGTTTTTTTCCCCTGCTGTGGTCACACTTGCCTTTAGGGCTCCTTTTACCCTGCATTCACTTACTAGCCGCAGTCATGAAACACAGCTCTTTCAAAAGAAATGGAGAGATTGTTTCAGGTCATACTAAACAGTTACATGCCACTGGCAAGCAAATAACTCTTTTTGATTTCGTCCTTTTAAATTATACAGTTCTCCACTTAAATTACTGTAGAGGATTTTTTCCAGCTTTCTCTTTCTAAAGGAAAAGAGAACATAAGGATATTTTAATCTGTCTTTCCTAAACCAGACCTATTCTCCATTTTTTATTTCACTTGCATTCACTGAACTGTTGCTCTGAGCAGCATCACTTGTCATAACTTAATGTGAAAGGCTACGATAAGAGAGAACAGTGAGACAGGAATTACTGGAGTCTCCCAGTACTGTTGTTTGCTGGCACTAGTCTCTTCCATGTTCCTGTTGCTACCTTGAACAGATTTCTGTTCAGCTTGGAGGAAGACTGTTACACATTCCTGTTTTGTCAGAGTACAACATTCAAACCCTTAAAAGGAGGTCCTGTGGTCTCTCCAGTGATTTCTACCCCTTGCTTATGCCCACCCTAATGCTTGTGCAGGCACATAACAAGTTCATTCAGGGAATTGAGTCATCTGAAAAGTGATTATATTTGGTAAATATCATCTTCACCAGGTGATTATAATTTTTATCAGTTCTAGGCTATTTAAGTTCTGAAAGTAATTATTCACTTGCTTTGGAACTCCAAAGCTTCTCTGGTAGTATTTTTTGTTACTTTTCTTTCAATAAATACCAGGCTTCTCTGTTTTACTATTCACAATTCACAATTAATGGTCTAGTGCTACAGTAATAATGCCAATAGTAAATGGTTGTGCAAACCTTGCACACACTATCACCCACAACCCAGTTTCTCACATCAACCTCGAATTTATCCATCATCCAATTTAATAACTAAATTGCTGAGCATGTATAGGCACATAACTGTGGCTGTACTGTGACAGGAGTGTCTCTGACCTTAACTCATCCACACATTTTTTCACATTCCTCATATTGTGTTTAATTTCATAGTGCACATAAATGCATGTACAAATAGCTCTGGACAAAACTCTAAGTCAGCAGTGAATTAATTCACAAGACAGTGAATTAAAACTGATATAAAAACAGTTTATATTGTTACTTTTAGCATATTATTTTCAGTCTTCAAAGTGTAGCAAAATTAAGATAATGCAAAAGCAGACTCATTGCTTCCTACTGGCTTTTAAAGCGTGGTCCAGTTGCAAAAAAAATAACTAGGCTCTTCTTTAACTCTTAATTGTCAAAAAATTAAAATTTTCAGTTCCAAAGCAGTGTTCCCAGAAAAATGAGGTGAATGAGCATGTATTTAAAAAGGAAGCACAAACAGAGCATACTTGGAATATACTTACAAAATTCTCATCTTCCAAAGTAAAAAGTGAATAGAGAATAAAAGCAGGTGACTATTTTTGAACTGCATTTCTTTAAAGTGTTCTCAGGCATCTCCTCAGGACTGGTGCTGTTTGTAGGATAGTACTGGAGACCCTGGCAGAACTGATGATACTGGAATTGTAGTCAACACCTGATTCTGAAACAAAAACATCTTAATCCTACCAAACACCCAAAGAAAGATAAGGAGGATGCTGACATACTGGATCCAGGCAAATTTAATAATTTCCCAAAATCCTGGCTGATATTTAAAGAAAGTCAAGGAGTGTTAATGAAGAAGCTTCTGATTGCAATAAGTAAACAAAGGAACTCAGAGGCAGAAAGGCACAAAATCTGTTAAGATATCAGTTTTTGTGGCAAATGCAAAGCCTCTGAGCCACAGAAACACCTAAAAGCCTTTTATCATAGTAGGGTAACAAAAGCTGCAGAGAATATCTGTCCTAGAAAACATTTAAACCAATTCTGGGTAAAGTACCTACTTTGTGCCTGACTCACCAGAAAGTTGTTATTGGTAATAGTCAGGCAGGTAAACAAACCTCATAAGAAGTATGCTCCATACAGATTCTTTTAAACACAGGCTTGTTCTTGTCTGAGAAAATGAGCAAAAACATAATGAACAAAGTATTATTTTGCAAAAAAAAAAAATCAAGTCTGCTCACATGTGTAACAGATGTAACCCCTCCACTGTGGGGGTTATTATTATCTTACATGCATATTTCTAATGATTTGCTTTAGGTCACAGACTACATTATCATGCTTTGCTAGTGGCATCCGTGATAGATTGGGACAGCAGGTGCTGCATGAGCAAAGCAAGATTCACTAAGAATATTCACTGAAAATGGCTAAGAAACTGCCTTAAAGGCCTGTTTAGTAAAGCTGAAAAGCAACACGAGTTCCCAGTAGAGAAAGGCAGAAAGTGGTTAGGCAAGTAGAACCATCTGGAGGAATGGACAAACAGGTATTTCACTAACTCCAGAACTTCAGCATTTGCTTAGCTAACAAAGAAAAAGTTTAGAAACAAATCTAGAAGAAAACAGTTTTCACTTGGCCTGTAGGTGAAGGCCCAAATAATGCAACCCAATTATGTCACAGTTTATGCAGTTTTCAAAGGATATAAAATAACTTCCACTGGATAATGAATAGTGGCATTAATGATAAATGGTGTATCTGTTGCTCTTCCTGTCATCCAAACAGGGCTGGGATCTGAAAAGACTGTTGTCACTAAAATGGGGAAAGGAAACATCCGGGTTAAGGGGCTTTTAGGTCTTAATACAGGACCCAAATACCTCACAAAACATCTGCCAATATGCGAACTACTACCGTCCTGTAGTTCACAGCTGCACATTCAGGCTTACCATTTCTATCCCAATATGCTGCAATGATGTTTGTTAGGTCATAGTCACTTGCAAAAGGACTTGTGCCATTGACCACAGACACCTGTTACAACAAGGAGACACTTGCATTATTTGTCCAGTCTTCGAGACAGTAATTCTACTGAGTTTCTTACACAAAGTAACCATGCCCTTGAGGGAATGCACATAAACATCAGACTGAACATCTTGGCAGAACAACCTCTTCCCTCTTTTAGCCTAACATCAGTTCCAAAGTTTTGGGGTTCGCTCTGTGCAGGACTACAAATAACCAGGGTGTCACCTATGATACCAGGAGGATAAAAGGGGAGGGGAATTGATGGGGAAGGGAAAAACATTTCCTCACATTGTATCTGGTATCCAGTCCACAATGGTTAAGTAATTGCCTCTGGTTCAATTTCAGGTCTCCATTCATATAGAGCCGAGACCCTGGCACAGGAGAAAAAAACTGAAGAAAAGCCATGCTCTGCATCACAAATGTTGACATTCTCTGAAATAGTGAACACAAGAGAAGAGAATTTAGGCGAGGACATACACACTCCCCACACACACTTTTCTACCTCTTCGTATCTACAAATTTTCTACATGGATTCGATATTTTTCTGACTCCCAAGTTTCAGACCATTATATTAGTCTAAACAAGGGAACACCGAATAAAAAATATTTTTATTTTTTCATGAAGTGATCTACCTTAGTTATTGCATACAAAGTTCCACAGGAAATTCAGTCCAACAGTCTGTGGTTAATGACAGTATTAC